ACTGAGGGTCTGCTCCAACGACGTATGACAAGCTGTGCTCAGAATACCAGCCACACGCTTCCTTCCACTCTGTCGTGTGTGACGAGTCCACGGAAACACAAGGGCACAAAATGGATTTCTTTAGTTCCCCATTTTTCATGCTCTTCCCATGCTGGTAAGGAACACACGGAAGCATTTTTAAAACCCAGAACTGCAAACCTGCTCAACTAGTGGATGTGGGAGAAGTTAGCAGCCATCACAGCTATGTAAGGAGCTGAACGTACGGATGAGCGTGCTCGGGAGGAGGAAGACATGACGATGACAACGATAACCGTAATGTCAATAACGGCATCAGGGAACCATTAAGGAAGGTTACACGTGCGTCAAAGGAGCTCTAGGGGTGTAGGGGTGTAATGGTTAAGCACTCGGCTGTTAACCGAAAGGTGGGCAGTTCAAACTCACCAGGGGCTCCAACCCACAGTGGCTCCGTGGGAGGAGAGACCTGGCAGTCTGCTTCCGTAAGGATTACAGCTAGGAAGCCCTATGGGAGAGTTCTATTCTGTCCTATGGGGTCGCTACGGGACATGCATATGCTGTTGTTGCGTGCCTTTGGAATTGACTCAGCGGCACACAACAACACACGTACATCAGGAAGAGGTCTGTGGGTGGCGCAAACAGTTAGCGTTCGTCTGCTAACTTAAAGACGGGTGGTTTGGGCCCATCCAGCGGTGCTGTGGAAGAAAGGCCTGGTGATCTGCTTGGTCACCACGAGTCAGAACTGATGCAAGGGCAATGGGTCTGGGTTTTGGTTTGGTATGTCAGAGACCAGGCTAATGAACTTAAATGCACTGTCATTTAATTTTTACAGAAACCCTGCAAAGGACGTATGATTATTCAACAAATTCCATAGATGAGGAAATGGAGCCTTAGGGAATGAGTGACTTCTTCAAGGCCACCCAGCTCCCGAGTGATGAAGGCCTTTGATGCTCATGCGAGAATTTCCAAAGGATGATGTTGGCGTTGGTACGGTGTCCATCCTATCAGCTCAATTCCCTCATTTCTGCGCTCCAACAGGGTAGCCACTAGCCAATGTCGCTACTGAAATGTAAATTAATTAAAATTAAGTGAAATTTAAAAATCAGTTCAGTGCTACTGAGCACTTGAAATGTGGCTAGTGCAACTGAGTAACTTAATTTTAATTTAATTTAAATTTCAATAGTCACACGTGGCTAGTAGCTACTCTGTTGGACAGTGCTGATCTGAGGAACTTTTTTCTCAGTGTTGTCAGACATGGTTCAGGGTTGCCTTCCAAAAATCTCAGAGCCTGAGGGGCATTAGTTTTTTTGCTGAAGGATCCATAAAAAAGCAGGGGGTCCCTTGAGATCACCTTTTAGCTAAATAACAGATTGGCTCATAAAACATAGACTATCAACCATGAGCAATGAGCTCCTTTGAAAAAACATCTATGAGACCAAATGGTCAACAATTACCTTAAAGCAAAGATGAGAAGATAAAGGGGCAGGGAAACTAGGGGACTGGAAACAGAACAACCAGACTGGAATGAACAAAGATGACACAACGCAAAAAAGTAACCAATATCACTGGATAACTTGTGCAGAAATTGTTAAATGGGAACCTAATTTGCTGTGTAAAGTTTCACCTTAAAGACAGTAAAATATTATCTAAAAAAAAAAAAAAAAAAATCACAGGGATAATTTCCCTGGGACTTCCTCCTTAGGAATGGAGACTTTCTAACTCAGCTTCTTAGACTCGTTCTAACTCAGCTTCTCCAACATTCTGCTTCCCCCAGAAGTCACAGTGTGAAGACGAGAGAGTCAGAACAGGCAAACCCAGGAGAAACTGTTCTCAGATAATGGTGCACGGCAGCATCAGCAGGGAGCTGGTTAAATGCAGATTCCTGGGCCCCACCTCCAGAGAGTCTGATGTAGTGGATCTGGTGGAATCCCAGGGGTCCATGGGTTCCTCAAGCACCCCAACTGTTCTAACGCAGGTGGGCTAGCTTTGAGAAATTCGGCTTTAGAGGCCGAATTACTTACTTATCTCTTGTCCTCTTAACTAACTATAGCACACAGATCTCCCAAGAATCACACACACTGGGTGGGGCGCCAGGCAGACATCACTCTGCACTAATTGCTCACTTCTATGGCACTGGACCAGGCGCTGAGTCACCGAGGCCTCGTTTCTTTATCTGAAACCCGGGCTCTGTCCCTCGGGGACAAACGAGAACACAGACGTGAGGGGGAATAAAAGGTAAAAGGCACTCTATAAACATCCTACAACTCACAGACAGGCCCTGTTTGTCTAGCAGAGAGTTTAAACAGATTGCGCATGAAAAATCCACAGTTCTAACTTCTCGGGAACAACCGGAGGATCTGGCAGCGTGGGGCTCTTATTAGGCTGGCAAGCTGGCGTGGCTAAGAGCCTCACTCTGGAATCCCAGGCATGGGTTCAAATCCCTCCTCTGCCACTTAAAGCTGGGTGACTTTGAGCAAAGCCCTCTACCTCGCTGGGCCTTAGTTTCTTCAATTCTGAAATGAGACTTGGAATAGCACACACCTCCCTCATAGGGTTGTGGTGATTATATCAAATGAACCAATATTTATAAAGTGCTTAGAACAATTCCTGGCATAGGGTACGAGCTATGTATATGTTAGCTGAACAGATAAACCTGCACGTGGCAGGAATCAGCTGGAGCCGAGTAGCCCCTTTCCCCTTCAGATGGGGCTGGCATGCACTTGGTTATCACAGTCTCCAGCCAGACCCATTGGACTATGGGGTCCCTGCTGGAAGGGGCAGACTTGTATCTCCCGTTGTGCCCTGCCCCCACAGGGACAGATACTTTAGTACCCACCACCCCTGTCAGTTTGTCGTCTTGTGCTGGCTTGTGTGTTGCTGTGATGCTGGAAGCTATGCAACCGGTGTCTCAAATACCAACAGGGTCACCCATGGCGGACGGGTTTCAGTGGAACTTTCAGACTAAGATAGACTACTTCCGAACAATAGCCAATGAAAACCCTATGGATCACAACAGAATACTGTCTGATACAGTGCCAGAAGATGAGCTCCCTAGGTAGCAAGACACTAAAAACGCAACGAAGTCAGGCACAGCAAGGATCATGAAAATGGTGCAGGACTGGGCAATGGTCATTTAGTGATACACAAGGTCGCCGTGAGTCGGAGCCGGCCTGACGTCAACTCACAACAACACGTTCAGCACATCTACAGCCATACCTCTCAAGCTACTGGTGGTGAAGGGCCCGTTTGTTTCCATTTCCGATCCATTGTGGACAGACACACAGACCTACTGAGCATGAGGGATGGGCAGCACACACCACACGGGACTCACCATGTGAGTTCCATGAGCCCCTGGCTGGCCCACACCCTGATCAATGAGATGGGACCACTGATCTCTGCGGGAGGCTGCAGCGACGGCAAAGGGCTCTAAGTTTCTAGACACTCAGCACTTAAGACGCTGTGAACTGGTAACAGTTCACAGGCCAGCCCTGATCCTCCGACTGCGCTTGGGATAGCACCACCTTAGAGAACATCGGTCTTGGCGTTCACACCAGCCAAGCAGACAACTTGCTGGAGACAGCATGCGAGGGACTGGCTCTCTCTTCACTTCTGTCCTTTGCCGCTGCCCAGCCTCTCCTTGTCTATAGCTACACGTTTATCACGCCTTTATGCGCACATTCACACCAGCTCCCTGGTGAGGCACTGGGGTCCAGGACAGCCTTGGCAGCTGCAGGGGATGCTTCTGGTGTCCAGGTAGTCCCAGGCCGGGCACCTGTCCCCCAGGCATTGGGAGCGCTGCCCCCTTCTCCTCAATGCTCCCTCTGGCTAACAGGAGCTGCTTTACACCATGCCCACATCCACAACCTCACCCCACACTCACTCTCCAGGAGCCCAGAGCCAGCGACAGACCGACACAGCCATACAAAGGACCAGCCCCTTGGCCTCAAGAAGGAACCAACTCTATGGTGCAGCTCACCCTCCAGAGCCCCCGTGGGATCAGCCTGTCACCTGGCCCCTTCCCGGCCCTATGCCCTCTCCCCGTCATCTGGCCCCTTCCTGGCCCTATCCCCTCTCCCTGTCACCTGGCCCCTTGCGGGCCCTATCTCCTCTCCCTGTCACCTGGCCCTTCCCCGGCCCTATCCCCTCTCCCTGTCACCTGGCCCCTTCCGGGCCCTATCCCCTCTCCCCGTCACCTGGCCCTTCCCCGGCCCTATCCCCTCTCCCTGTCACCTGGCCCCTTCCGGGCCCTATCCCCTCTCCCCGTCACCTGGCCCCTTCCGGGCCCCATCCCCTCTCCCCGTCACCTGGCCCCTTCCGGGCCCTATCCCCTCTCCCCGTCACCTGGCCCCTTCC